CTGGAGGTCACTGTGGCCACATCTGTCCATTCTTCCCAGCACAGCTCCCTGGTCTGTTTGATGGCTTAGCATTTGCCTCCTTGAAAGTCCCCTATCCCCCTGGTCAGGCACAGGCCATCATGGGGAAGTCTTCAGTGAAGAATTGAACAAATGGTAGGTGAACTTTTTCTTAAACAGTGGAGATTCTCAGCCCTATGGGCCATAAAGTATCTCAAACTACTCTGTCCTGCCGTAGTAGGCAGAGGCAGCCATAGCCAGTGTATTTGACCAGTGGGCAGGCATTAAGCCTTATTTACAGAAGGGGCAACGGCATAGTTTGCCACCCATTCATAGAGCAGAATATGCTCAGTGGTGATCAGTGTGTTCCAGGACAAGACTGTGGCTCCCTGAAAGTCGCTGGTATTGAGGAGAAGGTGGTTCAGTCCCCAGATGACCCTCTGAAAGGTGTGACTTTAATAATAAAATTTCTGGAGCCCTGATGACCTCTCCTTACAAGGCTCTGCTATACTGGCCTCAGGAGATGTGACCCTGGGAGGCAGATGGTATTAGCAGAAGGATGACAGTGACCAGGCATGGGGTCTTCATTCTGTTTTCTTGTTGCTCAGGTATAGGGAGGGAGACACCCTGCTTAAAATTGAGCTTTTGAGGGCTGAGCCACCCTACAGTGACCCAGGTGTGTTTTGGGACTGATCTCTTTGGCTACAGTGACACAAGTGACCATTGAAGGAAAGCATCCAAGAGAAGGGTAGTTCCCACTGCATATCCTTTAAAAGGCTCCTGTCAAGCTGGTGGGGTGACTCATGCCTTAATCCCAGCTACTCAGGAGGCAGTAGGATAGTAGTTCAAGACCAGCCTCTAGCAAAAATAGATTACCACCTCCCCAGTTTCAACAAATATATGGGATGTGGTAGTTTACACCTGTGGTTCCATCTATGCAGAAGACCGTGGTTGAAGAATCAAGGTCCAGGGCAGGCTCTGAGTTTAAAAAAAAAAAAAAAAAAAAGAGACCTTAGCTAAAAAATAACAAGCAGAAAAGGTCTGGGAGAATGGCTCATTGGTAGACAGAGCTCCTATCTAGCAAACACAAGCCCCTGAGTTCAAACTCCATCATCACCAAAAAAAAAAAAGAGATTCCTGTTGGTATGTTACTTTTTTCCCTATGATACTACCTTTTTGTGGTTCCAATGAATTATTCTCATGACTTTTGTCATGAGACCTAGTGTGTAGATAGATGAGGGACTTTGTCTAGGGAGGGGATGCCTGAGGTCTGAAAACTGCACTGCTGCTGGATAGCCCTGAGGGTCACCCTTCCCACCATGGTCGGACAGTAAGGAGCTTCACATTTCCTCTGGGGTGGCTAGGCCAGGAGACCTGAACCAGAACAGAGGCAGCGATGCTGGGTGAGCACCGGGATCTGCAGCATTCTTTTCAACCCACTTGGGTTTGGGCACTGGGGCTGAAAGTTGTGGAGTGGGGGCTTCATGACCAGCAGTCCTCAGACACAGCCAGAGGTGAGTGGAAGGCCAGGCCTCTCCTTAGGTAGGTGTGGCAAGGACAGAGCTGAAATGCATGCCACCTGATGCTTTAGCATGCATTCTGAAGCCAGGGCATCAGTGTTCAAGGCCCATGTTGGTCATTGGAAAGCTGTGTTGCTTAGCATCTCTGTGCCTCCATTTCTTCAGCTGAAGAATGGGTGAGAAAAGCCCCTACCCTGAAGGGTCATTGAAAAGCACTGGCACATTATGAGCACTTAGTGCATGTCAGCTGCTTGAGTGACCAGGCCTGGCTGGAGATGGGTGGGGGGTGTGGCCTGGCATCCCCTTTATGGTGCCGGGCAGCAGGGAATAACGGCTGCCCTTGTCCTCTGGCATATACTTACTGAGCCCTACTGTACGCCTGACACTGGTGTGGGCGTGTATTCCCCCTGTGTTGCTCTGAACTATAAACAAGGCCACATGAGGTGGCCCTGGTGCTCTCTCTCCTCCCGCAGGCCTGTCACAGCTCAGGAGCAGGGTTGTGTTCTGCTGTCCTGGCCCAGCCACTCTAGCCTGTGACTTGTCTACACCATTGCTACCTGATGAAGGCCTCTCCGTTAATAGGAAATCCTTCCCCCACCCCACCCCCCAGAGGGAGCACACATGGGCAGAATTCCAGAACAGCATTTCCAGGTTTCTACTTTAGCATGGGGATAAGTCGTTTCCTGTGAAAATGAAGTCCTAGGCTTTATTGGAATAGGATTATTAGGAAAACTGTGAAAGAGGGTGTCAGCCAGCATTCCCAGTACAGAAATCCAGAAAGCACCCTCCTTTCCCTGCCCACCCTCTGAACTCAGGGGATGGCTGGGAAGTAATGCCTGGTAGTGTTATTCCCTGGTGGTGGCCAGCACCTTAGCAGAGTAGTGTTGGGGGTAAAAGGGACGGAGAAGTGGAAACCAAAACACAGAAACAGGATTTCTCAGAAGCTTGACCAGAATGGGGCAAAGATGGGGAGCAATGGTGGGCAGAGGTACTGGTCTTAGGGCCTTTTAAAGTCTGTCTGTCCAAGGCTGGGGATGTGGCTCAGTAAGCCCTGAGCTCAAGTGATAGGCTTGCTAAGCAAGCTCTCTGAGGACCAAAGTTCAAGCCTTAGTCTGTGTAGAACACACTAAGGAGTGCGTGCCCCTCAAAGCTGGAAAGGAAGTACCCACAGCAGGGCTGGCACCTTCCATTCACTGATTGAGAAAGAGGTGATGATTTTCTGTTCAGAGGAAGCTAATAGTGACACATTTAATGACCACATTCCTGCTGAGCTGAAGTATGGGCCCCTGTGGAATTAAGTGGAGGCCCCCCAGAGTTGCCAGTGGCCCAGCATCTCACCTACATGTTTTCTGGGCCCACACTCTCCATGTTTGGAAATTGGGTTCCTGTGAAAAGTTCGAAAAAAAGGTAGAAAGGAAATTCAGCAGGCTGGGCTCCCCCACTGTGGCCTTGAGTACCGCTGTCTGTCGGAAAGATGCTGGATGGAGAATGATTTTGGCTGTGTGAGTTTCACAGCAGTGAGTGGAAACTTCCAGGAATGCTGCTTGGGCCAGCCGGGGGCTGTTTCCGCCACCACTTTTATGAGATTCAGACCCTTTCCCCAGCAGGTTGGCCAGCATGGGGGATGTGGAGATCTCCTTCAGCTTCAACTCCACTCTGCCTCTCGGGGTACAGTTCATGTTCTGCGGGCAGTAGTTTTTCCAGGCTCTGTCCTGTGACCTAGGGTGTAGAGCCCTCACATCCCCAGCCAGCTCATTTAGAAGGGGCCAGCTGCCAGTTGGGGCACCCTCCATGGCAGCTGACATCTGTGCGGGACACTATGAGAATTTATAGCAGCCTTAAAGGGGAAACTCCCTCCCAAAATGTTTCAATGTTTTATTAAACTATGAAAGTTTCATTTCCGCTGGATCAAGGCCCAGAGCCTTCGTGGAGCCTCAGGGAAGGGGATAGTACCTCTTTGGATAGTCTGTCAGTGAAATTAATCCGTCCCTGTGGTACCTATAGGCTGCATGGTGCAGGAATCAAGCCTGCCCCATTCATAGTGACCTTGTCCATAGTGGCACCGCTTGACAATGGAGGTAAAGTGACAGCAGAGCCATTATCTCATGGCAGCCCAAACCAACCTGGCAGAGCAGGGTGGGGCAGACCTGGAGTGGGCCAGCCTTCTCTGGCAGGCATGAGGCTGTCCTCTCTGCTGCCAAAAGCCCAAGGTGAGCAGATCTCTGCAGCCTGTCTGTGAGACTGGCACTGACTATGGAGCATGCGCAGCCCCAAGTGATCAGGTTCACAGAGCAGCCATCATGCTGGGTGTTCGAGTGAGGCTAGGGGAGCAAGAGCTCAGCCTCAGGAAAACAAACACGTCTCAGTGGCCAACAGGGTCAAGCTGCACAAGTGCTGGGCACTGTGCTGAGGCAGCAGTCTAGGAATTCAGAGTTGCCCTTCTCAGCTCCAGAGGAGGTGTGTCATTGTCCCTTGCCCATGATCACCTCGTCACTCACCTCAGGCAGCACATTTCTACAGTGGTCTCTTTGGACTTGCACAGGCAGAGACCCTCCTGGACCTCCCAGCCTGCCAGTGAGTGTCCTGAGTGTAAGGGAGAGGCCTAGTAACAGGCAGCATCCAGGTGGAGCAACTTCATTTGTGGGTTCAGGTTCCTCGCCTCTGGAGTGGAGAGGTTGTTCCTGGACAGAGCCCAGCCTGGACAGCAGTCTAATCTGGGCTGAGGATTTCTTTTTTTTTTTTTCCTTTTTCTTTTATTATTCATATGTGCATACAAGGCTTGGTTCATATCTCCCCCCTGCCCCCACCCCCTCCCTTACCACCCACTCCGCCCCCTCCCTCTCCCCCCACCTCAATACCCAGCAGAAACTATTTTGCCCTTATTTCTAATTTTGTTGTAGAGAGGGTATAAGCAATAATAGGAAGGAACAAGGGTTTTTGCTGGTTGAGATAAGGATAGCTATACAGGGCATTGACTCACATTGATTTCCTGTGCATGGGTGTTACCTTCTAGGTTAATTCTGCTTGAACTAACCTTTTCTCTAGTACCTGTTCCCCTTTTCCTATTGGCCTCAGTTGCTTTTAAGGTATCTGTTTTAGTTTCTCTGCGTTGAGGGCAACAAATGCTAGCTAATTTTTTAGGTGTCTTACCTTTCCTGGGCTGAGGATTTCTGATCCCTCGGTTGTCTTGGGGAATAACCAACAGCTGTGAGACCTTCCACCTGCTCTTCCCTCTCCGTGCCCTCCTTCTGCCCACAAACACCAGCATTCAGCTCTCCAGCAACAGGAGCAGAGGATGGGAAGGCCAGGGCTTCCACCAGCAGCCACTACAGTAGGGGCCAGGCAGAACCCGCAGTGGGAAGAACTGGTACCTGGCACTTGAGCAGCAGGTGGAAGTGGCTAAGGGGGGAACTGGCCAGTGGGGATGCCTGGGGCAGGTAGGGGTCCCCTCCATCCTGAGCCTGTCTTCCATTTGTCTTGCAGACAGTGTCCATCCTGGAGCAGCGGCTGACGCTGACAGAAGACAAGCTGAAGCAGTGTCTGCAAAACCAGCAGCTAATCATGCAGAGAGCAACACCGTGATCAGGGGATTAAGAATCAGGAGCTCGGACGATTTGGGGGGCATTAGGCCAGAGATTTGTACCAGGTGACTGGGGAATCAATAAAGGGATTCGACTGGGAATCACTTCTGTGCCAAGCCCCAGAATTATGCAGTGCTGCCCTGCACTTGGCTATTTGCACTAGGAGGTACTCCACCTGGTGATGGGAGGTCTGCAGCAGGCAGGGCCCTCACAGAAAGGATGCTGGAGGCCCAGCTGGCAGAACCATGCTTAGTTTGATGCAAAGGAGCCACTTGCAGCATTTGCTGTCTCAGAGTCCTAAGATTGTGTCTCACCCTATTGTGAGCCTTGCTACATTTTCACCCACCTTCCAGCCCTGTGCCTGACTTTTCCCACTCCTGCCATGGCTTCAAAGTCCACTGCTCATTGGTTGGATGAACCAGGAGTTTGCTCTGCATCTGACAAAAGCCCCAGAGTGGGCCCATCTGAGTCAGGTTTGTCCAGGAACAAGCTCTGTGGAGTGGGTGATGGCTTTGCAATGGCCTTGATTTCTGTTCCACATATGTTCACTGGGGCCTGGCAGCTTCCTCCTCTCTGCATGCATGAGAGCAAAGGAATCTGAAAATTAAAACTGACTTTATTGATCTTGTTGCAGGAATGGCTTGTTCTGGGTAAGACCTAATCAGTCCTCCCATCCCCAGGGCCCATGGAGGGAGAATGAAGGGGGCAACCTGGGCGGCCCCCTGCCCTTAGAGGATTGCCTCAAGCCCAGGACACCCTTGTGTGCATTTGCTCAAGGTGTTGGGGGAGGAATAGCAGCCAAAACCCCCTCATACCACCCACCTCCTTCTGGCCGGCCATCATTGGCTTCTGTGGGGTCCCAGAAGCCTTCGGTGGGGACCTGCATTTCTATTTGCTCAGGAGGGTTTCCATGGCTCCTTCCTCCACATCTGTGCTGGGAAAGCCAAGGCGAAGTGTTTTCCATATGGCTAAATGGCCCTCAGCCCTCAGCTTCTTGGGGCTCGGCCAGCTGGAGAGGGCTTTATTCTCCAACACACCTACCCTGCCCTGCCCTACCCTGGGGGTGGGGGCAGAGTGAGATCTTCCCAGGAGCTGTCAGTACCATGTGGCTATTGGGGGTGTGAGGGGGAAGGCGGTTTCCCAGCCTCTGGCTTCTAGTGGCGGGCAGAGCCTAACTGCCTCAGAGCTTGGACTGACAAGGAAGGGCAGCCTGTGCTGAATTCTGATAAGCAGCAGGCACAGGGAAGCTGCCTCCTCCAGCCTGGGTGAGGAGAGCTGCCCGTCCTGGCTGTGACCTCAACATTGGGTTCTTATGTGAAGTGGTGGAGGCACCCAGTCCTCCAGGGGGTACACAGGTACTATACCCTACTGGGTGCAGAGCAGGTGCTCAAGGAAACTCATCTGATCCACTAGATGACAAGGCCCCCCATTAACACAATTCCCTGAGCTACATGTAGGGAAGAGGCTGTGGGCTCAGGAATGTTCTGGAGGCTTCTGGGGACCTGTGGTGTGTGGAGGAGTGTGGCAGGCCTATTGGTCAGAAATGGGAGGTAAGGCTCCCAGCTTTCTTGGGAGGTAGTGAGCTCCCATTCCTGGAGACTTATGGGGAGCCCAAGCAGATGTGGGCCCGCCTGCTCAGAAGGGACACAGCTTGTGGGACCAGCTTTGTCATCCCCGCTCACCCTGCTTCTGCCATTGACCCGCACTAGGCTGCCCATTGTGGCTTTCGGACTTTGACTTGGAGCTACCTGGTGTTGGGACTCTGGTGACTTGAGCAGCCAGCCCAGGACAAGGCCACCTCCAAAGACAATTGGAGGTCCACGGCTGGGAGACGCCCCCAACAAAACAGGGTCTCTAAGGAGTCCTGTGGCGGGTTTCTTTTTGGTGGGGGGGAGGTATTTTTTTTTATAGTACTAGAGTTTGAACTCAGAACCTTGCATTTGCCACACCCCCAGTGCCTGTGGCAATTCTTGCTCACAGGACAGACCAGGTTGCTCTGACCTCTGTCTTCAGTTTACTCTAGAATATCAAGTTTATAGTCTGAAATTGTACTTCTCTGCAGGAGAAAGACTGGGGAGTTGGGGGCAGCAGTACTGGAGTTTGAACTCAGGGCCTCACGCCTGCTAGGCAGACACTCTACCACTTGCAAGCCCCTGAGAACATAGATTTTTAGAGATTGGGGGCCGGTAGAGGTATTGAAGGTGCCTTAGTGGTTCACTGGCAGTGGAAGCTCCATGGGTTACCATGTGGTCTAGAGGGGCCAACAAACTTCCTCATGTAGGATGATGCTGGCATGTCCTGAGACAGCCCTTGGATGTCAGTGTCCAATATGGGCTCTCCAGGCAGCAGAAAGTCTCAGCTGTGGCCAAGCTTGGATAAGTCATGTGCACAGCCCCTTGGGCCGTCTTGCAGGGCCTTCCCTCCCCTCCCCTTCTCCCCCTCTTCCTGGTAAGATGAGGTATCTGCTTTAAATTGCCATTGCCTACCAACCCACAGATCCTTGGGGTTCCTGGGGTGAGCCTGCACTTCCTGTCAGAGTACCTGAGGTGCTGGGCCAGGCAACTGCTGGAAGCAGCTATGCCGAGCCCATCTCTGACCCAGGGCAAGCCCCCCTGTCCCACCTCCCTGAGTCACCACACCCTAGCATACCTGAAAAGGGTCCCCACAGGCCTGTGGCTGCTTCTCCAGTCTTAGGGCGCAAGGTAGGAACACCCTCCCACCCAGCACAGTCCTGTGCCCTCTGTTTCATGGTGTGCTGGCTGTGGCCTCATGACTTCTCTGTGGTGGCAGGGCTCTGGGCCCCTCACCATTTCCCAGGTCCTGGTTCTGCCTACTCGCTACATTGGATGAGGTCTCTCACACTTTTGGGCCTTTGTGTGTAAGATAGTGCCTATCTCCTTGGGCACTCAGAGTGAATATCCTCGGTATGTCACTTCTCCCACAGCCAGTCCCGTTCCCTGGAATGTGCCTCCCCATGTCAACGGAGACAGGGGTCCTTCTGGCTCAAATTATACGTAGCCCACGTTATTGTCCCTGATCCATGACCCCTGCCATGGGCTTCCCCAGTGGTGCGGAAGAAGTTGGCCCCTCCCCAACCAAGGACGGAAGCACTCTAAAGCCACTTCTTCTATCACAAAGGCCACCACTAGGGCCAGCACAGACTTGGAAGTGGGTGTTTGTGATGACCCGGAATCCCGGAAACCCAGCCCACTGAGCAAGCGAGAGCACAGTGACTCACTGGGCCCTGCTGCCCCAGCTGCCTCACTAACCTCATCTTCCTGAATGATTTGCTCGAGATGGGCCCCTGATGGCTGCAGTCTTCATGGGTGTGTGGCCATTTAAAGGGGACCCAAAGCTAGCTACAGTTTTATCCGCACCAAGAACCCCCAGTCCACCCTGCCCACCATTCCTTGGGCAGCTGCAGAGAGAAAACGTTTGCTGAGGTGGCAGCAGCAGACAAGTGGGGCCCTGGGGCATCATCCCACTTGCTGTGAGTATTGCCGCCCTGGCACCATGGGCTCACCGCCCTAACCCTTGCCATCCGTGAGAAATCTACGCTGGGATGAGGAACTCACAGAGAGGAAGTGATGTTTCCTGCCGCTTTCTGTCTTCGGCCTCCACTTCTCCTTTAGGCCCAGGCATGTGTTCCTGAAAGGGAGTTCGGCATGTTTTATGGGTCCCTGTGGGCAGAGACCCACCCCTGTGCAGGGCAGTGTCACTCAGCCACACTCACTGATACCAGCCCCTGTCCATCTTCATCTTCCCGCTGAGCACCTGGACTTGGTTTTTGAGTCAAGCCTGGCTTCAGAGCCGTGGGCATCCCTGAGCATGTGGGGTTGTTTACCCAGCCTGTGATCTCTTGGTCTCAGGCCTGGCTGAGGACACCTATCCCTGCAGATAACCCTGCTCACCTGGTCTCTTTTTATAGCTCCCCTGGCTGGGCTCAGCCTGAGCCCTTGCTTTCACCTGGCAAGGTCTCTAGAACCAGGTTACTCCTCTGCGCAGCCCACCTCTACACTGAGTGCCTAAGACTGTGACCCCAGCCAGAGCAACCACAGACATACCCTTCTACCCAAAGTCAGGATGTGGGGTGGTCCTGCCCTCAGGACCAGTACACCATCCCCCACCCCTACTCATGATCGCTACTCCTGAATTTGTTCCTCGAGCCTCAGAACCCTGGAGCAGGAGAAGCAATGTAATTTGCCTCCCTTCCCTGCCAGGCAGTGGCATGCACCCACCTTCCAGAGTACCTAGAACCAGGTACTCTGTTGCAGAAGCGTGGGCTGCTGTGTGGCTCCCTGGCTGGCCCTGTGAAGCTGACCTTTGCTCCTGAGGCTGTTCCTGGTTCTCAGAGTTGGTCTAGCTTCCCAGGTAGTTGGGGTACACCTGTGAGGCTACACAAGGATGCCCATAGCCCTTTGAAAGGTGTCCCAAAGTCTCCTGTTGGGGACAAATGCCTCATTTGGGAGAGTTCCAGCTCCATAGACCCCTCTGGTAGGGGATGGGAATGTCAGGCTGGGCTAGTCAGGTGAGGGTCCCTCCCACCCCCCCAGAAACATGAGCTTGCCCACCTCTCAGGCAGTCTGGTAGTGAGTCCCCCACAGATCCAGGACCAGCTTACCTGGGGCCTGCCGTTTCCTACTCTTTGTCTCCCACTTCTGCCCTTGGCCACCCGACCTGATCTTGGCAGAGCTGCCAGACTCTGCCAAGATCTAAGCCTAAAAAATAAAGCATTAAAAAAAAATTGTAAGACAGCTCACGCACCCCTCAAATGGTTCCCCAGCCTCCAGGCCAGGTGCTCCCCCACTACTGAGGCCCTACTCACATCTGCCCTCTCCTTCTACCATCCTCATTCCCATTCAGCCCCAGGGCCTTTGCACCCACCATTCGTGCTGCCAGGAATGCAGAACTTCACCTCCGAGGCTCAGCCTCTATCAAAGCATGCAATAAGAGTACCTTCACAGGGGTAGCTAGAAGATCTACTCAGACAATTCTCGAAAAGTCTAAGAGCTGGGCAGTGATATGTGGCCCAGGGAGTAGATGGCAAGGCTGACATTCAGCTTGGCCCCTGCTGGCCAGTTGGGCTCAGCCAGTGCTCCTAGAGTGGGTCCATCATGCCTCTTGAGGCCCTCACACTCCACCCCCTAGCTGCCATGGGTCTCTCTCACTGACACCCTCACCCCACACCCCTGTATGACTCCTGCATGATCTATTCCGAGTGAGGCCTTCAGCCATCAGGCAGAGCAGGAACCCCTGAGTAGCCCCGATGGGACGGGGCGGGGGGGTGTGGGGGAGGGAGGATGGGCACACGCCAGGCCTCCTTGTCCATCTACTCACTGAGGGGTAAAGGTTGGGGGGGCAGCCAGCCGAACTTGAAAGACCATTTCGCTGTTGGCTGGTTGGCTGACTGGACAGACATGGGGCTTCTGCCTCCCAGACCCTCCAACCTGCCTGGTTCTACCCTGCCCCATCATGGTTCAGGATCCAGGCCAAGCTGGGCCAGGATTTGGGCTTTTTCTGTCCAAAGAAGAGCCTCCCACTGTCCCCATAGCTGGCCACTGGCCTGGGGCCTCCTGCAAGGGCCTGGAGCCTTGCTGCCAACCTGGG